CGGAGCTTCCACGGGTTAAGTGGCTCCCCGAAGAGTCCCCGGTCAGGGTACTTAGAATCATGCTAATAGCACTAGGTAGGCCTGCATCGAACGATGAGTGGAAAGTTAGCTCGCTGGAAGGACTAACACACCTCCCTATTCGGTAGGGCATTGGCGATTAACAATGTGGTGCTGGCGGCCCTTTGGTACAAATCTGCAATTTGGGCCCTCGGTAAGGAAGCCATCCGATCCCTGAAGCGTCAGGTAACAACTCTGTTGTGGCGAGGCAATGGCGAGCTCACGAACATCATCAGCAGGGTAGCTTGGTCATCGGTGATCCAACCGAAACACAAAGGGGGGTTGGGGATTCTGGACCCGAAAACGCAGGTTACAGCGATAATGGTGCAATGGGTTAAGAGGCTTCTCTTCACGCAACAACTTCCATGGTATGCCCTGGCACTAGAACATATGGCCAAACTTGCCCCGCAAGCTCCACATGAGGTGCACCCACTGACCTGGCTAGAAGATCGCTTTTGGACTGTGCCACGGTGCACTCGGGGCGGCCGTGAGCCGAATGGAGGAATAATACGAAAGGACTTGGCCTGGGACAATTTATGGGCCAGGGTTCTGCGAGCCTGGCGCAAACTCCCTCTTCTCGACAGCCCCCCTCCAACTAGGTGGGAGGAGGTGATGCGCCAACCCCTGCTTGGAAACAGGAGGATCACTGACCGATATAGTATGGTGTTTTGCAGTTCGTTCGCCCCGTGGGGTAGTTGAGTTAAAAGAGGCGTTATCAGAATAAAAGAGAACTCAAAGACGAGGGATTGGAAGACGGTGCAGCAACTTAAAGACACTAAAACACTGTCACAGTATTGAGGATAATTTTGAGATATTGATATTTGGAATTCCCCTGGACTGGGTGCGCATCCTGCGCAAAAGGGGACTGGGTAGCTGTGCCAGGCGACTCAGAAAGTATGGGAAATGTGGAGGACGTGTGATTAGATGAAACCCTAATTCACCTTTTTCATATAGGCAAGGATAGTGTCCTTACCCGGTACTTCCCATATGTGATGCGAGGGGGAAAAAACAAAGAACTACAAAGGATTTGTGTGTTACGAGACAAGGATGTATAGACTGCATATCAGCCAAACACCCCATTGGTAGAGCTCCACATAGATCCCAAGGAATGGCAGTGGTCATTCCCACGGCAACGCAGTTCTCGGGGGAAGACAAAACTGCAGAACCTAACAGTGAAGGCAGCGTACCACCTGTTGCGCCCCAAAGTAAACATTAAGGAAAACGTAAAGGAAAGATGGAAATCCAATTAAATGTAGGGATCGAGGCGATCCGCCCTATCCGTTGCTTCACTACTACCAGAGCCAGGCCAGCAAAGATGGCCTCACTACAGTGGCAGATAGAACATCGCTGCTTACTCACCAATGACTGGTTGATAGATCGTACTCATTTAGAGCAGAGAGGACAGGCGTTACCCTGGTGCAAAGCGTGCCACACTGCCTTCCCCTCCGCAGAATCCTTGAGACTATAGAACACATATTCATGCAATGTCCAGGTGCAGTCCTCACATGGCAATGGTGGTACAGAATCTGGTCCCGTATGGACACTGGGTCAAAATGGCCTTGGGACCGGAAAGCCATACTACGCGAGTCATGGTCCTCCCCTACAGACAGTACTTTCGAAAATAACATGTTTAAAATAGGAAGGAGAGTTGTCATGTGGGCCCTCTAGAGGAAACACTATATATGCCATAGAGGGAGCCCATACAGCGGCGGGAGAGGTGACAGATATGATAAAACAATATGTCCAACAAGAACTAATGATACAATAGCAAAGAATTAAGAATCAATTGGACTTGTTTCACTCATTCCAAGATATAATACAAACACTCCAGCAATTCTCAAGGGACTGGTTGGGCAGCGAGAATGGGGACTGGATTGCCTCCGTCAGATGGGAAGGCAGGCCTACCCAGGGAGAGTTCAAAAAGGACTACAGTATTTGCTTCAAAGACTGGACAGTGGTGGGCCAGGAGTTCCCGCTGCGACCACCCACAAAATTTCCTGACCCGTTCCCGCCCCACCAGCTAGCTATGGTGGACCTGCAATGGTATGGATCCGACTGTGCAGTCTGAGCGAGGGCAGAGCATATAACGGACAGCAAGGAGCGCAGCATTTCCAGCCTCGTTGAGCATGGTCCAAGCGTTTGTCCCTTTGATGTTCGTCTTTTCGTTTGGAGAGTGGCAGCTGGGACTGAGGGGTAATAGGGGTGGGGGGAAGGAGGAACTAGTTTGTAGCGGCAGGCATCAGGTGCCCGGTTCAGGGCGACGAGGTCCTCCTCCTTTTCCAAAGCCTTCATGTTGAGATTGGCAGTTAGGACTGGGGGGTAATAGGCGCTGGGGGAGGGAGGAAATAGTTTTGTAGCAGCGGGCATCTGGCGCCTGTTCAGGGCGAAGAGGTTCTCTTCCTTTTCCATCTTCTGCTCAATCAATCCTCTGGTTTCCAGAGTAATCAATGCTGGCAGGAGCTCTCCGCTCCTTTTCCCTGATGTATTCTGAATTTCTTCTGTATTTGGGACGCTCGACCCGTTTTCCAGCAGGTGCTGCTCCCCACCAATAGACGGAGCCTCCACTCAGGTGCTAGTGGTGTCTGCTCTTACCAGCACCACTATCACTGGAAGGGGGATTTTCAAAAAAAAAAAAAAAAAAAAAAAAA